CTAGCTTTCCCAAAATTTTGACAAGAATAAATCACTAGCCCCCTTACCTTTAATGATATTATCACCACCACTGATTTGGATATTGAAACCGAGTCAGTAACTTGACTATCTGATAACAAAAAAAATGCTAGAAATGTATCGTTGGGGAAGCAAACATGGATTTGAGAGATTTTTTTGTGTGAAAATATGGGAGATTGTGCCTAAAGGAATCGTAAAGGCAGAGCTTTCAATAGTAGTGGCGAAATCAAGTAACCACAATAAGCAGTGGGTAATGAGGATGAAGATGCCTGATTTTAGATTAGGAAAGGAACTGGAAGAAATAAGATGGCAAGAAAAACAACCCAAAGACCCCTCTCTTTCTACTAGTGAGCCCGAAAATCAACATAGAAGAGGAAGGATTTGGGTAAGGAAGGGATTAAAGAGGAAGGATTTGACTCATTAATTATTGAGAAAGAGAAGGGGGTCTTTTTAGTTAAAAGTAATATTTAATGATCAAAAGTTAATAAATATTAATGAAGGGGGTAACATTGTACCCTTTTTGAAACTTGCAATGTGATATTACTCCAACTAGAAGGTAAGGGTACCCAGTGCTCTTTTCTAACTAAAATTAGCTTGAACTCTATAGATGCTTCCTCATTCTCTTTGGTCTCAACACCCTTAAAATTAGCTTCAAACTCATCCTCTTTAGTGTTAACTAAGTTTACCACACTAATGGCCACATTATGAGACTCATACTCGGGTGGCAGCTTAATAGATAATGGCTCTATGTCCGTGATTTGGTCTTTATCAATTTCACCCTCACTTTCTCTATTATATGGTTCCCTACCTTCATCACCTAGGCCCCTTCCAATTTCATTCTTGGAACGATGTAGATCATACGCTCTAATTTCTTCAGTGATTGACACTATTGTCGAATAGCATCAAAATTAATAAAACTAAATTTTGGAGCAAAGCGCAACCTAGATTGTCTTCCTTAGAGTCAATAAAGTAATTATTTGAATTATGATTATAAGAAGGTAAATAGTGGGGGATCTTTTTATAATGAAATTAATTTAAAAAATCTAAATTAAAATTAAATATATAAAGAAAATTCAACTAAAAAAGTTATCAAGAACAAGCAGTACAATCAATCACAACCCAATTACCTAAACTTAATCTTCCTTGTCCACAAATTAAATTAATTTTATTTAACTTTATTGTTCTGATTTCATTATATATTTCTCAAATTATATTAGCATTCAAGAATTAAACAAGAAATTAAGTTATAGATTAATTGAAATCTCCATTAACCCACAACCTAATAATTGTTTTATGTTAGCCACACTAAAAATAAAGCATGAGTAATCACTCAAGCCAAGTCAAATTACTCTTAAGTTACTATATCAATCGAGTATAGCAAGTAAAATCTCAAATAAAATTTATAACCCAAAAATTATGCAGTAAAGCTATTATAATCAACAATAGCAATTAAAGCATAAAATTTAGAGGTAGAGAGAAGAAGAGCAAATTGAAATAAAGCTAGAATAAAATCTTTCCTGAATATTAAAGACTTTGATCAAAGTTTAAGATTATAGTTTGTGATTAATCACACCAAAAAAATTAGCTCTTCATAGAGCTAAAAATTGAACAATGACAAGTGAAAATTGAGAGTACAAGCATTGCCATGAGAAATTGAAGAAAAGTTTGGAGGAAGCGCAATAGCCTTTACTCCTCCTTCTCTTAATTCACAGTGTTGCGCCGCTTGCTTGTTTCTTTTCTTCTCATAAAAGTCATCTGGCCTCTGCCATTCCTTCCTTTATATATAGAATGGATGTTGCATTCCTGTGCGTAAGGCTAATACAAGACTAATAATAAAATAATAAAACTACCCTAAATAATGCTAATTAAAAACTACACTAAATAACTCAAAATAAATTTAAACAAAATTTTAAAGATTTAATTCTTGATTTGATCTTCAAGCATGCTCATATTCTTCTTATCCAAAATAATATTCATTAATATCCTTCAAATTCGATCTAGAATATTTGTACAAATAACATAAAATTAAATAGCAACTGTGCAAAAATATCAAAGATATTATTTATATTTTAAAAACATAAATTTAGATAGTTAGAATCCCAAAACTAAATAATGGTTAATAAAATTAAATAATATCTAATTAAACTTAATTAGTATCAAATAAATATTTAAAAGTTTAAATTGAAAGGATAAAAATATATAAAGTTTGTCATTTATCAGTGATTATCTTTTACCCCCTCTCATTTGAACCTTTTCTTCTTCAAAGCCCTTTAATAAATCATCGATATACGACTAATATACCTTATTTGGGTTTGACATTGACACTAATTATACTACATTAAGACAAAATTGAGCACTAACTCATTATGCAAGTGCCTAAAAAAATTTAGGACCTCAAATGTGTTTATTTGGCAAGCCTCAATTCCATACCTAAAAAGTCAAGGACAAATCTTTGATTCAGCCTTTCTTTTACAACCCTATAGGAATTTGAGTTCGCCTGTCCACAATTGTTCTTGCCTTACTGCATCTCAACCTTTCACCTTCATTCAACAATGCCATGCAAGAATTGAAGACCTCATCCACACCCTCAGCTTGTTTGCCTTCATTTGCGACCCTTATTCTTCATTTTAAAGTTTGAAATAAAAATATATTCATTTTTAAAAAGCTTCTTGCCACGTTGCCTTCCAAATATTGAGTCCAAGTGCCATTTCATCAATTCATTAGTCAACATTGGTCTGTTAATAGATTAGGGGGACATGGCTCCATTTTCCATGCTTCCGGGGCAATAGTGCTCTTTAAGAAAGGTAAGGATACTCGTTGCTTCTTCGTGAAAACTTCTAGGGCATTTTTGCCCCTTAGCCCTTAAAAGAACATATAATAAAATGCCCAACCCAAAATAACATTCTCTTCATAAAATAAATTAATTAAAAAGAAAAAGAAAACCTAAATACTAATATCTTGAACTACGTGAACTTTGATTTCCATCGCAAAATATGTAGGTTATAAGCTTTGATCCAAGGTCAAGTCCTCCCATATAAATAAATAATTTTTTTATTAATTTCTTCATTTTTTATTTTTGCATGTGATTGTAAAGGGTAATTAATATATTATTAAAAGGCTAATTAATTCTATACAATCAACTTAAGGTAATCATTCTTATAAATGGGTATTGTGGGGTATCTAATATCTTTCTTATATACAATCAACTCCCGAACTTTTTTCGCAAACAATCCTTTTTTGTTATACAATTTTTCAAAGTTTTTCTAAAAACTTTAGTGACGACACTCATTTTTCTATATTCATTGACCTTCCCTCTTTGGGAAAGTCTCCATCTAGGCGCAACACTGCGTTTACTCTTAAGTGATTAAATGTGATTTATTATGGGGTTAATGTCAAGGGATGTTATAAATCGTGTAAGATGAAAGAAAAATGGTTATGCGAGATTGAGAGATCCTTTATGACCACATTCCCAAGGAAGTGTGTTGATTAGCTTGCACTAAATGCGTATTTTCTTGACTACCAAACGTGTTTTCTCATATAACTTTCATTATAAAATATGATCTTACTAATAAACACATGATATGGGCTGACATTGCTATCTCTCTCTAGGCCTTCTGCTTTCTATCTTCTTTTGAAAAAAGACTCCAATCCTTTGAAGCAAGTAACTTCACAGTAAAAAAATGTATACTATTTATTGATCTTTACAGTAATATCTTCTCCAGAGTGTATTGTTAATTTTCTAATAAATAGGGATTAATTACTAAAAAATAGTGGCGACAATACAGGAACAAATGTTTCTTCCTATATATTATAGAAAGGAAAATTACAATTCCAATGATATGCAATTGTCATTATAATTACAAAGGGTTAAGTTAAAGAATGAAATGCAATTGTCAATTCTAATGATAGCCTATGATCATTGATAATGCATGAGCATTGTAACCATTTCTATTAATTTTTGTATGGATTTGGTATTCCATGTCATCCACATGTTATTCAATAAAATCAGATCAGTTCAATCAAGTACAATCTTATGTGTTATTATATTTGATAGCTTTATGTTTGTAATAAAATGTTTATTTAATTTCTTACATTTTCTCTCTAATATCATTAATGAAGGAATTAATTTATATTTATATCATCTAAATGTCATATTTTTATTGGATGAAATGATATGATATATCAAGTTTATGCAAGAATTTCTTGTGTTGGTTTTGTTGTGATTACTGATTAGTGGATGTCGTCGTTGTATTAATTTCTCTTTTAGAAAAAATTGTTAATTAATTAATAATTAATAATAATTAAATTTATTACTTTTTTAATTTTTTTATAATACTTTTCTTATTGGGGGGATGATAGATAAATCTCTTTAAAATAATAAAATGATAATTTGATTCTACAAAATGTGATGATAACAATGAAGTCCCAAGGGACCTCTTTAAGATTAAATTTTTATATGAAATTATTTTAATGCATTTTATGATTTAAAAAATTGTGATTTCTTAAATTATTTTACTTATTGGCAAAACTAACCTTAGGAATACTTATACTAAATTTGTAAATGATATAAAATTAATTAAACTATACTAATAGGAAATTGTAATTTTTTAAATTATTTTAGTCATTGATAGAACCAAACTTATGAATACTTATATTAAATTTATAAATCATATAAAATTAATTAGACTTTGATAGATGAAAAAAATTACTAATAAAAAATTAAAATTTAATCATTGATAGAGTCAAACTTATAAATATTTATATTAAATTTATAAATTATATAAAATTGATTGCACATAAGTATTAAAGTGATTTAACAAAGAAATTTAATTTTAATTTTTTTTAAAATCTTACTGTTGTTATCATATTTTGTGAGAATAAATTATTATTATTTTTATTTTATTTATCATTTTTCCTTTCTTATTTCTAGTTTCATAAAAATATTTCTTTTAAGCAAACGGGATGTCATTCTCTCAATCTCTCCTAATTTTTTCACTGGCCATATTTTTTTCACTTCTCTTCAGAGTTCAGTCCCTGACAATCCGCATGCGGTTGGCGTTCTGCATTCTCGCCGGAAATGACAATCAAGGGCAAGGGCAAGGAAGTCGCCGGCAAAGATTCCTCCGGAAAGAGGAAGCGGAGCGATGGGGACGACAAGACTGGTGGTGGTCGCAAGACGAGGAACCGGGGAGTTCTGCAGTTCTTCGAAGACGCTGCTGAGACTGGAGACACTGACGACAGCTTCGACAGTGACTTTGACGATGGTATAGAAATGCTTGTGGCTCTTATGGTCGTACATTCTGTTTATTACGCCCGCTTTCGCCGGAACTCCTAGGGTTTGACCTATTTTTTGGTTTCATTGGCTGTCGAGCCTTTCTCAATCCGGGTGTTCTTGCTCTGTACAGAGGCCATTAATGAATGGGTGGTCTGGGTTGTTTGAATTTCGATCCTTTTTTATGGATTTCTGGGCTTGGAGGACTAGTATTTGTCAAGGTTGCGGCCATCGAAGCTTGTCTGATCTCTATTTTTCGCGTACTTCTTCTTTTGTTTTAATGTTTATAACACTGTAGGAAAGAGTGGCATTTCATAGTGAAATGGGGAAAATTTTTGTGTTTCTTATTAAGCATGGTATTCTTATTTATTTCCGCATTTGCTGTTTGCATTCATTACCATTGTTATGGATTTTTTCTCAAGCCGGCCAGTTTGCCACCATTTTTTTCTAGTTGTTTGTTTGCTTTAATTGCATCTTTTTCTTAGGTCATTGGCCTGTCCGTGGCTGATATCTTGATTTGGGCTTCTTTGATATGGAATTGTTAATGTTTTTGCTAGTTCAAGTTTATTTTTCTTTTATTTATGCTTCTTTGGGTAGTTTTTCTGAAAAGTTTTTAACAGATTTTCTAGATGAGGATTTTGATACTGTGCAACCAACAAAGAATGAACCAGCCAAGGCCCATAGCCTTCCAGTTTTTCCCAAAGAGGAAGGGATGGATGAGGAAGAATTTGATAAAATGATGGAAGAACGTTATGGCAATGGTTCTACGTTTGCTACTTATAACGCTGGAGAAGAGTATGATGACAAAACATTTGAGTTGAATTCTTTAACAACTGCCATTGAATCAATGCCCACTATTTGGAAAGTCAAATGCACAGTATGACATCTGTATCCTGTTTTTACTAATTTTTCCTAATAAAAGTTGCAGTCGTCAAAACAATTTTGGATGCTTCAGTAGTTTGTTTCCTCCCTTCTAATCTCTGGCTGCTGCAGGTTGGGCGTGAAAGGCATTCAGCTTTCTGTCTGATGCATAAGTTTGTTGAGTTGAAATCCCTGGGCAATAAACTGCAGATAATATCTGCATTTGCTGTTGACCATATGAAGGGATATATCTACATTGAAGCTGAAAAGCAATGTGATATTTATGAGGTAACTCATGTACTGGAGATGTTGATCAAATAATTGATACCAGTCAGTTTTGAAATGTTTCTACTTGCAGCTAAATCTTTTGATCTGTTATATTAAATTTCAGGCGTGCAATGGGATCTCTAGTATTTATGTTACTCGAGTGCATCCTCTTCCAAAGAATGAAATTCTTCATCTGTTCTCAGTACGAAGTAGATGCAATGAAGTTTCTGTGGGCATGTGGGCCCGGGTGAAAAATGGTAAATACAAGGGTGACCTAGCACAGGTACTGCACAAATAAAATATTCTAGTTATATCTTCCTAGCTGACATGAAAAGCTTATTGCTGTGTATCAATTCTATTTCTGTAGGTTGTGGCTGTGAACAATATACGGAAAAAAGTAACAGTGAAGCTTATTCCGAGAATTGATTTACAAGCAATGGCTGCCAAATTTGTAACAAGATCTTCGTAACTTAATTATTTTTAGATTTTGCTTTTCTTTTTTTTTTCTGCCCTTCATATATTAGCTGCGGTGGTTGTTAATTATTTTAATTGGAGTACCATATAGGTATCGATTCCTAATATTTATGTATTGCAGTAAGCTGCAGGCCCGAGTACATTAGCAAATAATTGATCTAAATGAAATCAGAAGGGATTCATCCATTCTCCACCATTAAGTGTTTTCTACGCATTTATTTCATGCACTTGCTAACAAGCACCGACATGGTTGAAATATTTCTGTTGTATTTGTGCCTGTGTGTGTAAACGTAATATTTTGGGGAGTGGTAATCTTTATCTTGAATTAATGTCAGGAATGTATTATTCTTGTCATGTGCATGCTAGAAACATGCATTTATTTGTTATTGATTGAACATTGGCTCATTTCACATCAGATGCTCCTTTGATTTCTGTTGATTTTAAGTTGTGGATGTTGTATTATATCATTTACAGAGTACTTCTAATTCAACTTCAATTGATGGTGGTAATTTTTAAACAAACTGCTGTTATCCTTTTATAATCGTAAGCTTGCCTTCAAAAATATATGAATAGGGCAATCTCAGTGGATTTATTTTTCTCATATTTACAGGGTGGAGGACATAGGATTCAAAACAATGACACACCAGCTGCAAGATTAATCAGCGCTAGTGAACTTGAGTAAAATTTTGTATCCTTATATGCTGTTAATTCTTTGTCTGATGGATTTTCTGAAACAACTGTCTCAATTTTAACTCTGCAGGGAATTTCGACCTCTCATGCATTATAGACGTGATCGTGAGATAGGCAAGGTCTTTGAGGTTCTTGATGGTCTAATGCTCAAGGATGGATATCTATACAAGAAAGTATCTATGGATTCATTAAATTTTTGGGGTGTTGTTCCAAAAGATGAGGAGCTCTTAAAGTTTGCACCATCTGAAAACAATGAATCAAATGATTTGGAGTGGCTGACTCAGATTTACGGTGAGCCTAAGAAAAAGCGGACTGTAAGAGGAGATAAAGGAGGTGAGAAAGGAGAGGGCTCATCTAGCTCAGGTGTGGGGAATGGTTTTGAAATGTATGATCTTGTATGTTTTGGGTAAGTCCTTGTGAACTTTCAGAGTTCATGGTACTGCACGAACCTGTGCTCTCTCTCTCTCTCATGTGCATATAGGAATTTGCACAAATTTATACAATTAAATGCATACGACCTTCATTTCATACGTATTTACTATTGCAGCAAGAAAGACTTTGGTGTTATCATAGGCATGGATAAAGATGATACCTACAAGGTATGGTATTGAGCCTATGCAACACTTGCAACAAGCGTCTGATCTAGACTACCTCCTGTTTTCAGAAAGCTCAATTTCATTTACCTTATCTGTTCTAGATACTGAAAGAGAGTCCAGATGGACCTGTTGCTACTACTGTTGAACGCCGTCAGATAAAGAGCGGGCTATTTGATATAAAACTTAGTGCTCAAGATCAGCAGAAAAAGATCATCACTGTTAATGATACTGTCAGGATTATTGGGGGCCCATCTGAGGTCTGATGCTTTGGATGTTTATATTTGTAGTTGTCATCTTCTGTTTTGGAATCTGTCTTGAATTTAGAATGCTACTTCATGTCATTTTGCAGGGTAAACAAGGTATTGTTAGGTACATCTATAGAGGGGTTGTCTTTATATATGATGGCAATGAGGAAGAGAATGGTGGTTATATTACTGCCAAACCTCATATGTGTGAGAAACTCAAGCTTAGTGCTGGTGATTGTAGTGAAAAGGTTGGAATTCTTTTTGTTATTCTTTAAGAATATGAACTTTATGGCTGCGTAAAATGGGTTTTGATGCCCCCCTCCCCCCAATTATATACACACAGGGTCATGAACCAGATTCTTCAGCTTTCGAAGATTTGCCAACATCTCCTAAATCCCCTTTGTCACCTGAAAGGCAGTGGCAAGCAAGAGAACAGACCCGTGAATGTAAAGAAGCCTGACTCTTGTAGAAGTCTTTGCTCTAGACCTGCCCATTAATGATAATTGCATGATGTAGTTTTTTTTGGCGCAGTCAGCAAAGGAAACGATGATGGATTATATACTATTGGTCAAACCTTGAGAATTAGAGTGGGCCCTTTGAAGGGATATATCTGTCGGGTTATAGCTATACGTCGCTCTGATGTTACTGTGAAACTTGATTCTCAGCAAAAGGTTCTTACAGGTTTGTTTATGATGTGCTAACTATAGTTTTTCATGTGTTAAGTGATGGCCTAATTTCCCCATATATTGATTTTCATTCAGTTAAATGTGAGCATCTTTCTGAGGTACAAGGGAAGAGAATTGCCATGTCATCAAGGTACATTTTATAATAATTGTTGCGATTCTTTCTGATTGCAAACTTTGACTGAAAATTGTCGTGATTTGTTTTATCTTTTATATATCAGCGTTGACCCTGATTCAAGCAAGCCTTTTGATCTACTGGGTACTGGGGACAGCTCAGGAGGTAGGAATCCTATTATTTGTTACTATTTTCTTCTTTGACATTATGCGGCAATTTTGACAATGAGATAATTATTAATTTGGGTGCTAGTTCTGTATCTATTTCCTGTTCGCCATTGATTGTCTGCATCTCGCATTTTGACAATGAGTTTATATGTAAAGGTTGGATGGACGGAATTGGAGCATCAGCTGGTGGTGATGGATGGAATACTGGAGGGGTGCAACCTGAAAGGTACAGACAATGATGACATTAGTTTATCTACTTGATTGTTTCATCTCAAGCATTTAGTTTACCTGATTGAGTTGCTTCACTTCATTATTTGCTCTCTATGCCAGAAGATTTGATGTTCACTTTGGATGTCATCTGTATTGCAACAATAGATTGAGAATAAACCATCTGGGCTGTAGAGATGATTGCTTTGCTTTGCCTATTATAGAAATATTTATGATTATGATTTATTTGTTTGTTGGTATAGCCTGTTTATCTATGTTCTGCGTTGACGTCCTTCCATTGATCAATTTGCTTAGGGAAAACATATGCTATATATTTTTGGCAAATCTATGTAAAATATATTGAACCTTACAATTTAGAAAAATTTCTGTGATCCAGTATCTTCTCTCGTTCATGATTTGTTTCTTTTGTTATATTGACTGTTCTCTTGTCTTATGATAATGTAATCTTGTGCAGGAGTGCCTGGTCTAACCTTTCCACATCAAACTTCCCGGTATGTCTTGAATTTTCAATGCGGGATGAGAGTAATGTGTGAATTCTATTTTGCTTCTCATACTGTATATATCATCAGCACCAATAATTCGTGTATTCCTACCTTCACTGTCCTCATGTAGTCATGTATGAGCACAAACTCCATAGATTCATGTTTGTTAATAAAGAAACTGATGTGACCAATTTTCTGCTTTTATTTATTTTTTGTTTGTTCATCTTGCTGTTGCAGCAGTCTGAATCTCTTTCAAATCCTGAGGGTGATGCTTCTGGTAAAGGTATGTTTACTGTGTCATATCTCCATATTACCAGCTTGTATTATAATTATGTATTGTGTGGATGTCTCATTGTCCTTCTGATGGATAGGTGTAGAAGATAATGCTTGGGCCGTCAAAAGTACTTCAGTTAAGAAATCCTCCTGGGGTGCAGCTGCTGACAATGCTGGAACTGCTGCTGACCCTGGTCAATCTGGTGGCTTGGGGAAAGGGGAAGACGGCTGGAGCCTGGCAAAACCTGCTGACAAAGTTGATGGAGACCAGCCCTCTGGATGGAGCAGCAAAAGTAACTGGAATGCTTCCAAAGCTTCAGGGGAGCCCTCTAGTTGGGCTCAGAAATGTGACAAGAATATTGGAGAGCAAAGTGGTCAATCTTCTTGGAATAGGGAGAAGACATCAGATAAAAGTCCAGCGGCAGGATGGGGTCAGGTTAATGGTGAAAACAGTGGATTGGCTGATGGAGGAAACTCAAACACTAATTGGGGTGCTTGGAAGTCTGGAAGCAGTGATGCCAAAAAAGTCGAAAACCCTTCTGTTGATGATGGTGGTTGGAAAACTAAGTCAAACAATAAAGATAACTCTGGAGGAAATTCAGGTTCTGTCTGGGCCTCTCAGAAACAAAGTTCCAGTGATGTGAATGGAGACCAGCCCTCTGGATGGAACAGCAAAAGTAATCAAATACTCCCAAAGCTTCAGGAGGAGAGCCCTCTTGTTGGGGTCTGAAATGTGATGAGAATGTTGGAGAGAAAATTGGTCAATCTTCTTGGAATAGCGAAAAAACATCAAATAAGAGTCTAGCAGTGAGATGGGGTCAGGGTAATGGTGCAAAAAGTGGATTGGCTGATGGAGGAAACTCAAACACTAATTGGGGTGCTTGGGAGTCTGGAAGCAGTGATGCTAAAGAAGTCGAAAACTCTTCTGTTCAGGATGGTGGCTGGAAGACTAAGTCTACCAATAAAGATGACTCTGGAGGAAATTCAGATTCTGTCTGGGGCTCTCGTAAACCAAGTTCAAGTGATGTGGATGGAGGCCAACCCTCTGGATGGAAGAGCAAAAGTAACTGGAATACTCCCAAAGCAGGAGGAGAGCCCTCTGGTTGGGGTCAGAAATCTGATGAGAATATTGGAGAGCAAAGTGGTCTATCTTCTTGGGATAAGGGGAAAACATCAGATAAAAGTCCTGCTGTAGGATGGGGCCAAGGTAATGGTCAGAAAGTTCAAGTGATGTTTCGACTGGATGGGGTAATAGTCCTGGCTGGAAAAGTGGATCAAGTGCTGGCAACAAACAAAGTTCTGATTGGAACACCTCTAAAGAGGGTCTGGCTAATGATCAAAGTGGTTGGAACAGAATAGAAACTGCTGAAAGTGAAAAGATGCCTAATAGAGATTCATCAACTAGTTGGGGTCAAGGGAGTAGTTCAAACTGGAATTCTGGTCGTGCTGATGCTGGAAATCAAGATTCCAATTGGGGAATGAAAAGCAACTGGAGTTCTGGATCTGGTGATCAAGACGCCAACTGGGGAAGGAACAGTAATTGGAATGACTTAAATGGCAAAAAGTTTAGTGGTGGTAATGAAGCTTCTGGTGATGGCGGGGCTGGGGGGAATTGGAGTGGTGGTAATGGAGGTAGGGGTGGCTCTGACAGAGGTGGTTTTCGGGGTAGAGGAGGTTTTCGAGGTAGAGGAGAACGCGGGAGCTTTGGTGGCAGAGGTGATCGTGGGGGATTTGGTGGTGGCAGGGGAGGTGATCGGGGTGGATTCCGTGGTAGAGGCAGATCAAACAGGGAAGACTCTGGTGGTAGATGGGGATCAGAAAGTGGATTTGGAGGCCGAGGCCGAGGCCGTGGAAGGAGGGACCAATCTGGGGGTTGGAGCAATAAAAGGGATTTTGGTGATGATTCCTCTGACTGGAAGAAGGAGACGGATAATAAAACTGAGGGTTGGAAGAATAGCACTGGGTCTGGGGCCTGGAACCAGGGGAATTCTGACAAGGACTCAAGCTGGAACCAAGGGGGTGGAAGCCAAAAGCAATGGCAGAGTTGGGGTTCAGCAGGTGAACCTAGGGGTAATTGGAACAGCAAGAGCTTAAACCAGCCGGCAGATGCTAAAGAAAATTCTGGCTGGAACAAAGTAACAGAGTCTACACATGAAAATGCTACGGACAAGGGAAATGGTTGGAATTCCCATGGGGACCAGGGTTGTGGCTGGAACAAGTGTAGTGCAACAAAGGAGGCTGATGAAATTAAGCTCCAAGAGGATGGATGGAATAAGAATCCTAGTTCTAAGACTCTGTCTGGGAGTTGGGGCAAGCCTGAGATGAATCAGAAAGATGGTTGGAGCCAATCAACTGCTACTGATAAGGGTCAATCATCAAGTTGGAATGCGTCAAATGGTATGTCAGTAATGAGCCAGATAGATTGGAATAATAGTAGATAATTGACCTTTTAGCCTACTCAACTTCCTTGGATTCCTACTTAATAAAAGAAGTACATTATTGATTTTCTTTGAGGCTTGTTGAAATCATGAAGACATCTCATCTTTTTTTCAGAATAACAAATTTCTTCTGAGCTCTACAAAATTACACAGCATTCTTTTGTATTGTACTTTATTCTTTTATCCTCTGAGAGATTGGGTTTGGAGCCAAAAGAATTCCCTTATGTAGCCCTGGTCCTAGCATTCCAAAGCTCAAAAGCTACTGAAAGAAAAGCTTGTACCAATTCTTCCTTTCGTCTTTTTCTTCCAAAGATTGAATTGATACACTTGCAAACCATATTCATTTGGCCATTTGACATTCTAGTGAAACATGATCCTTAGATTCATTCATAGCACAAATATAAACACGTTGGGCTTGATTTAAATGTGGTGATGCTTGAGTATATTCTCCCTGTAAAAATAGCCTTGTGTAGGAGCCTCGGAGCTAACGTTTTCGGTTTACAAGAAATCTCCAGCTTCCAAAGCTCAGGCCAAACATCCACATATCAATCTATCTCCCATGGTATTGCTTCCCACAGAAAGTTAGGTCCGAGCTTAATTGAATAGGCACCATCCTGTCTCATCTTCCATATCAATCGATCCTTTTCATCAGAAATAGAGATAAGAGTTTGCAGGATAGATTGACTTCACCTTCTTTGGAGTAAAGGGAAGCTAGCTTCTGTTTATTCCATTTAAGATCTGTCACCTTAAAAAATGCAATCATTTATACAAACTGAACAATTCAAATTGCAAATATCATTATGACTATTAATGTGATGCAGGAGGAGCAGGTTCTTGGGGAAAGAAAAATGACGGGACTGGCAACAGTGGATGGTGAACAACTCCCCAAAACGTGCTATATGGCCCAAAGAAGGAAACTGACCTCAGTTGCTTGGTCGTCTAGTTAATAATAACTACTAACTCTTTTGTTGCAATCTAAAAGTCAGCACAGATCCCCGAATCATTTTGTCGGAACTTAATGTCTAGTGTTATGGTCTATTGATCTGAACTGCTGCTACTAGTTTATGAATCTTAGGTACATAGAAGTAGTTGCTTTATTTTTCACTAGTTCAATGTTCAGCGGGTAACTGTTCTGTGCTGATGTGCTGCAGCCGAGTTGTTATCTTGTTTATAGAATTTTATTTCTTGATGTATGCATATTATCCTATTGCCTATGCTTGTGTTTCCAATTTAGGGGGTGTTTGGTGATGAATTTTGTAAGAAAAGTCCATTTGGGAAACCTAGCTCACGGGAGAGCTGTTTGAGTAATGGTGTTTTTTTTTTTTTTTTTGGGGGGGGGGGGTGGGGAAGGTTCATTGGCAATGTTTTCGATATTGACAAAACCCAACCGGTATTACTATTTAAAGTTATTTTTTATTTAGATAACTTTTCAATTATTTTCTAATGGAAAAATGTATAAATCATCTTTTAGAAGATATAGTTGTTTTTATAAGAGACTTTTTTTATATAAAAAGTTAAGTTGGATTATTAGTTACTTTATTGTAATTTTACCTTTTTAATAATTTGAAAATTGTTTGAGCTGGTAGAAAATTATTTAAGATGGTTTATTTAAGATGGTTTAGATAGGTGTTAAAATTGTGGAGAGATTAGTAATGAAAGTGAAATGAATAATTTTAATCTTTGTTAAAAAAGGTAGAGTAAAGTTAAATTGAAACATTTTTGAAAGTTATTGATCAATATTTATTAATTAATATTTTTAAAAATTTGTTATATGTTGTAAAATTCAGGTAGTCGACATTATCTAGAAAGATAACGTTTTTAGTTGTTTATAATTTTCAATAATTACTCTCCATTTTCAAATGTGGGAGAAGCTACCATGTTTTTTTTTTTTTTGAAAGTAAAATTATAAAATTTAAATAGTATTTATTACATTTTTTTTAAATTGTCTCTCATGAAGTCAATATTTATTTTTTAAATAAATTTGTTCCATTAATTATGGACATAATTTAGTTCAAATTTTTTAAATTTAAGACATAATTATTATATTTAATCAACTTTCTTAAACTATGTGAATTTGTTATTTTCTTTTATATTTGATAATGGAGTCGATAGCAAAAAATTATATTAGAAGTGTTTTTTTTTTTTTAGAGACGATGTATTTAATAAGGTGCATTGAGAATTTTTTAGGAGTAAGGGTTATTTTTGTTCTTCAACTGTACACAAAAGATCACAAATGTCCTTAAATGTAATTATGAGTTAATTTTGTTTCTTAAATTTAAAGATTTTCTTTATCACCCTGTCTTTTTCTCACTATTAGTAGAGCCCACATTATTTTTTTAATATTTTATTATTATAAAATATTTGAGTTGATGGATAAAAATGAGCCTTTTAATAGAAGTTGAGGAAAAAATGACCCTTAACCTGATAAAAATATTAAAAAAATGATGAAACTCATTGATGATTAACAAATGTTAAATATTTTTAACGTCAGGTTTTTAATATCAAGGTGATAATGGAGGAAATTTTTAAAGTTGAGAAACAAATTGACTTATAATTGAGTTTAGAGAGATTTATAACCTTTCTTGTACAATTTAGTAACAAAAATGACCCTTAATCCAATTTTTTATAATATTAAAAATTGGGATGGTGAAACTTTCAGATATTTAAGTTTGTCTTAATTATCAGTTTAGTTCTTTAAGTTTAATTATTATCAATTTGGTCCTCTATATTTCTTTAAATTGCCATGTTAGTCATTTAAGTTTTAAAACACAAATTGACTCTCAAATTAATATATTTTGTCCGAATCTCAAATTAATAAATGTGCAAAGTATATTGATTTGACATGTATATATAGTTGAATGAGAATAAATTAATCCTTAAATTAATTTCATCAATATAACTTTCGTCAATCTTCTGTTATCCATATAAGAAAATTTTAACAGCGTTGCCTATTATTTAATTAATAATGACCAAATTGATAATTGAATGTAAATTTAAGGGATTAAATTAATAAAAATTAAATTTAAAAGACTGAATTGGTAATTGAAACAAATTTAAGGAGCTAAAAGTTCTATTATCCCTTAATAATTTAACCACTTCTCTAGAGCTGCACAAAAGACAGGACAGTACTGGACTTCACCCTAACTCGAAGTCTAGTCTCTTTCATGAAAAAGACTGGATTAGACAACCCATAGTTCGGTCTTGTCCAGTGATAATTTGAAGATTAACAAGACCGAACTTAGTCCATAGGACTGAAAAACTGGTCCTGTCAGTCCAATACTCATTTAGCTTTTTTTTTTAATTTTATGAGAGGCAATAATCCATTTCAATATAATAAACTCAATTAAGATAGTAAAAACACTTATAATAATAATAAATTTATAATAATTTCCAACAATAAGAAAAAAATATTTATGTTACAGTCTAAATGATTTAAATTTATAACTTTAAACAAAAACAACACTCAATAAAATTTAACAACACTAGATTACAACAACAATTTAGAAACAAACTCAACAAATCTTCATACAATCATCTCCTTACCATCAATTACACTTCAAACATTTGTCAAAAATAAATTAATTATAATTATAATAAAAAAATTAATAGGACTGGACTAGACCAAGTGATCCGGATGCCTAGTCTCTTGTCCAGTCCAACCCGAAGAAATAGTCTGGTCTTTTCAGTCTTTTTGATCCTGAAGGGCCGGTGTCTATATGAACCGAACATGACTGAAATCATCTCGGGTTGGACTTGACCAAACAGGAATGGAAGACTTTTGCACAGTCCTACAATTCTCATTAATTTTGATAATAATTACAAGTGACTTATAAAAATGATAGAAAGAAACATTTTTAAAACAATTTTCAATTTAGTAAATTGATTTTTTAAAATACATTTAAACATAAATTTTGTTACAATAACTTATTTTTATCAAATTGATTTTTAATAAACTAAAAATCAAGCATATACTTAGCATGCCAGAAGCAAGCAACACTATAGTATTTTAGGTGCATTGTTTTATTTAGCTCCATCAATTTTATTTTTCAGGTTAAGCAATAGGGTATTACTTTTTTTTTTTTTGACAAGTTTTTATTTGATAATGTAGATAAACTACTTAGGTGTGCATGAATTATTCACGTTATCTCTAAGGAAGGATAGTTAACGCTTCATAACTCAAATGAATGGTGAAAGGGATCTCTTGTGATGTTAAGTTCAGTTTATTTGTTTTATTTGTTTAATCTCTTTTAAGTTTTAACCCCTTCTCCTCCAGAAACCCAGGATAACATTAAGATTCTGTAGAGTTCTGTTATCCATAATAAAATCTCTGTTATCAATTTGGAGGTTAGTGACACATCTCTTCAAGTGAAGAAAATGTTTGACAATTGGGCCTCTATTCTGGTGATTGATCCAAGCCGTTTGAAATGTAACAAAACAAAAATTATTGTCAATTGATGAAATTAAAGAGAAAAAAATAAAAAGAAAAAGAGGTATTTTGAAATACCTCGTCCTTTTCTTTACCCTTCTCTCCTCTCAATGTCCATTCGAACGCGTGACATGTGGGAGGACACAAACCTCAACACCAACATGACACCCGAATGTTGACAGTCAAGGTTCCCACCTTTAATTAACTAAATCTACAACCTTGAGAACTGGGTCTACGAAAAGAGCATGCCATGTACTATCACCAAACTATAATATAAAATATTTTTAAAAAATTTTACTTGCCTTAAAATATAAGTCTTGTGTTATTTTATAATTATTTTTTTAGCACATTAAAATTTTAATTGTTATTTTTAAGGTATTTATATAATATATTTAATAAGGGTATAATGTAAGAGAAGTATATCTTTTTAAGAGATTAATGTTTCTTAAAGAATCGTAAAGTTATTATCAGTGGTCTAGATGGATTATTTTAAGGGAAAAAAATTATTTTTGGGAACCCGTAAGTTAATTTGATTGCATGTCATACTGATTTAGCGTCGTTCATTTCATTTTTACTGTTACCATGTTTACGTACTGTTGTAGGAATTACATCCCTTTACTTTAAAAAATGACAAAGGAATGTGGAAAAGTTGATTAGTTACGTCCCATTACTTTAAAAGTTGATTAATAACGCTCGCAATTTCAGGTGTGTGAAAAAGTCATTTTTGTTATTATTTTTGGTTAAAAGTGAGTTTTAATTGATACAGAAATACACTCATCAGGTCATTTCTTTCCAAATGTCAGTTCTTTTTTTTTTTGTGTTAAAAAATGTAATCAAGAATGGCGAAAGGGGTCTCTCTTGATGCAAGGTTCAGTGTAGTTGTCTTCTTACTTTAATGACTTTTAAACCTCTGTTATCCAACATTAAATATCTGGTTTGACATTTGGGCCTTTGTTCTGGTGATTCGTCCAATCCATTTGGAAGGTGACAAAAAAAATTAACAACGAACGAACAAAGACAGACAAAAAGAGGTATTTTAAAATACCTCATTCTCTTTCTTACTCTTCTTCCCTCTCGTTGTCTGATGGTTCGAACGCTCAACATGTGGGAGGATCATTATCCTCAACACCAACATGACAGTCAACCATTGACAGTCAAAGTACATTTCTTATATTAAGTAATGACTACACCATTGAGATTTGAATTGGTCTGGGCTCGAAGCCCACACAACAGTTTTTGAAGGCAAAGAAGAACTCTTTTTGGCAACGCTCAACGGAATAAAGAAAGAAGGCCATAAGCCTTTACCAAAAGAAACAGAGAAAGGTAATGGTTAATGTAACACTCTCATTTAAATAATAATATAATTATATTAAATACCTTTACATTAATTAAGAAAGGGTAAAATTTAAAAAATAATTTAATTATTAAAGTATCCTATATTTTAGATCAAAAAATACTTTTAGAAGGTATCCTATAAATGAGACTATATTGAGTAAATTCAACCCATAGCCAAGCATGTTAGACAATTTCAATATATATATATATATATTTATTTAGTTCAAGATAAATCAAACAAGTCTCTCAATGGGCACAGTATTCCCTAAACACTTATATATATATATATAATATAACAAAAAAATTTAACATAAAAAGAATAATCATTGTTACCTATTTTTCAAACTAAAATCATGTATTTTGGAATGTTCACAAAACCACCAACATAAACGCTAGTTTATAAAAATTAATAATAATAAATATAATTATTCAATAAGTCTTTATAATTTATTTTATTCAAAATTAACTCTAATAGTTTCCAACATTTTCCATTTAATCTCTAGATTATTCTATCCTTTAACTTGGATTAATTCCAATAAATTTAGCCCATTAGACAATAAATAAATCATTTAATCTCTAAACAAATATGATCTAAAATTTAAATTCAAATCCATCAATTCAAATGCTACCTTAAATAATTTAAATTTTGAAATAGTCCTAGAAATGTTTGGGATGATGAAGAATTGGAATTAAATGGAGCTTGGTGGATGGTAAACACATCCACTCCTTGAAGGATAATTGGATTGGCGAGTTCGGTGGACTGTATAGATTTAATATTTTTTATTTTTATATTTTTAATAGATGAAGGATTAAAAATAAAAATAATTTTCTAACTGTTGTTATTGGAAAAATGATTTTTTATATCTTTCTAATTATACCTTTATTATATTAAATATTCTAGATAAGTGTTTGAATAATTATAATTAAAAATCTAATAGATCTTTTTTAAGGAATAAAAAAATAACGTAGGGGTATGCCCTCTTTGAATTATAATACAAATTATTGTGAACTAATTTACATTTTTAAAAAATTTGGTTAAAATCTTTATTTTTTTAAATTTTTTTATATCTTTCAATCATATCTTTGACTGAAATGAATATAATATTTAATTTATTTAGACGAGTGGAATATAATAAAGGGTATAACTAAATATATATATATATATATATAATTTATTTAATATCATATATTTTAAATTAAATAAATTTTTTAAAAATGTCATATACCATAGTTCGAAGGAAGTGGATAGAAAAAAAATTATAAAGACTATTTTATATTTTATATTTTAAATCAAATAAGATTCTTAAACAAAATATCTTATATTATAAAACATAGGAAGTTGTGTAGGACTGGTCTGGTGATGAGGAAGTTGGGGTGTCCCTGTGGCTAGCTTTCAAAGACAAGCTTCTCACAAACTCTTGAAAGATTGAGAAGGCATTTTGACTTGGAGTGAGACTTGTGGGTGATGTCATGATTGCCCTCTTCAACAATTGGCAACGAACCCGAGCTCTCTTTTTTCTGGTTTACTGTGCGATGGAAACTTCAGGAAGCTAGGACTACGAACAAGAGCCTACTATTTGACAATATGCTTCTTCATTGGACAAACACTTGTGAACGCGCCATCAGCGCAAGAAAAGCTTGTTTCTTTTTTTCTTTTTTTTTGAATATAAGTCAAATTTATATAAAGATAAGACAATTAATACATTAAAAACCTAACCATTGTCATTATAAAATAGACATAACAACCAAATGAAGACCCGCAAACATTGGTCTAAAAGTAAACATAGTAACTTGACCAACCAAAACAAGCTTGCCTCGTAGGAATTTTTTGTAGTCACCTACGATTCTAAACAGCGAGAAGATGTGTCATTAAGGACATTGATGCTTTTATGACCATTCATTTGTGAGTGAGAAGATGTGTCATCAAGGACACTGATACCTCTATGAGCATTGATTTGTGAGCAATAATAATGTGCAGCAATGTTGTAATGTTGCTTGGAAGATCATCACCTACTAAATACAGCAATACTTATAATACCAATGGGATGATAATTTTTAAGACATGCAAAAACCAAAAAATAATAACATAGGAATAGAACACTCTGGTTGATCACTCCATCTTTGGGACTACCACAGCAGCACCCCAACTATTGTGGTCCCTCTTCAATGTCATTGGACTGTTTGGTGAGTTTTCTCGCAGGATAACCCACCAAAACCTAAAGCCTTCTATAAGAGCTAGGAAAGCTGTTAGCATTAACTACTCTCTTTGCCAGAAATAAATAATTATAATTTACCTAAAAAAATTTATAAAAAAATAATAATAAAATCTCTTTAAAATATATAAATAAAAAGTTGATCCTTTGAAATGTCATAATTTTTTTAAAATTTTTAAAAAAATTTCTGTTATTAATGTATTTATCTAAATTATCAAATTACCCTTATTAAAAATAAATAATTCATAAATTTTATTTAAATATCTACAACTTTCCTTCTCATATTCACAAATTTTGTGTTAGATTTTTTATTTGTTGTTACATTGTTGTGAATATAAAAAGAAAAGTTGTGAATATTTTAAATAAAACTTATGAATTATTTATTTTCAACAAGGGTAATTTGATAATTAATATAAATTCATTAACGATAAAAAAGTTCTTAAAGATTTTAGAAAAATTATGACATTTTGAGAGATTAACTTGTCATTTATATATTTCAAAAAAAAATTATTGTCATTTTTTCAACTTTATATGAATAAGGTAACAAGATTATTTAGAATTCAAGGAACACTTATAAAGATAATTACAGACTACTCACCAATTAAATTGTCACATCAATAATGAGATTTAATCCCATAACAATCTTGTGAGTTAGCAAAGCGGATCAATATTATTTCCTGGAGTCTATTATTTTGTTAAACTTTGTCCATAAGAAAAGAGAGAGAGCTCTTATATTCTAAACAATTTACTGTACAGTTAATAATGAATAAATTACAGTTTCTTATAATTTTATAATATATATTGATTGAAAAAATAAATAGGAGTGAAGTCATAAATTCATAAAATTTATAATCCTTTTATGTAATTTTTTTTTAAAATAACGATTAGAGTCGAAGTTAAAAATATAATTTTCAGATTGAAACAAATTCAGACAAGTTGGGTCTGAATGTTTACGAGTCGTACTTTTTAGTTTTTGGACTAAAAAAATTATAAAAGTACTCACAAATCATTTCTTCCAATTCTTAATTTAGGTACTTGAATGGAAAAGGCAATCCTAATCACCTCTATTTCTCCCACCTTGCCAACTACTCCAACGTGATTTTCTCGGCTCTCAATCACCTTTTCTGCCCTTTGCAACGTTCGAATTCTCCTGATTTTCATACCCAACAGGCTCCCTCTCTTTCTCTTGCTTTCTTTCTGTCATTCATTTTCCTATCTTTTCCTACATTGTAGGGTTTCTTGATTGGTTAAAGATTTGTTTGTAAAATGTTCGCTAAGTTCAGAAAGCGTGGTACCAAGAAATCATCCAAATCAAATTCAAGGGACACTCTGTTGACGGTTATAGATCGTTGGAAGTCTCTTTCAACCATGCGTCTCGGACCACCACCGTTACGGCTACCGCCAAGTCGGGCCCAAACAAGTTGGCTCCGGCTGTGGCGCTGCCCCTGTCCGCCGCTGTAGAATTACTGCCTCCAGTGCGAGAAGTTGCCATTTCAGAACGATCGAGTGTGTTACTTCGAAAAATTCAGCTCTGTTGCTTTGTATATGACTATTCGGACAGTTCGAAGTCGGTTCGTGAAAAGGAAATAAAACGCCAAACCCTTGATGAGCTACTGGATATTATACAATATGGATCATTCAAATTCGACGAACTTATGCAAGAACAGCTTATTGAGATGGTTTCGGTTAATATTTTCCGCTGTTTGCCACCAGCATCCCATGAAATTACTGGGACCGAAGCTTTTAATCCTGAAGAGGACGAAAGATATCTAAATTTATCGTGGCCCCATTTGCAGCTTGTGTATGAAATTCTACTGAGGTACATTGTGTCATTTGAGATTGATACAAAGACTGCCAAGCGCTACATTGATCATACATTTGTTTTAAAATTGCTGGATCTGTTCGATTCGGAGGACCCACGAGAGCGTGAGTATTTGAAAGCCATTCTTCACCGAATATATGGGAAGTTCATGGTGCACAGGCCTTTCATAAGGAAAGTAATAAATAATATACTTTGTAGGTTTATATTTGAAACAGAGAGGTATAATGGTATAAACGAGCTTTTGGAGTTTCTGGGTAGTGTCATAAACGGATTTTCATTGCCAATGAAAGAAGATAATAGATTGTTTCTATTCCGAGCGCTAATACCACTTCACAAGCCAAAATGTTACGCCACATATCATCAACAACTGTCTTATTGCATCACTCAGTTTGTTGAGAAGGACTACAGATTGGCAGAACATGTGATCAGAGGGTTACTGAAGTACTGGCCAGTCACAAATTGCCAGAAGGAGGTCCTTTTCCTTGCAGAACTAGAAGAGATTCTGGAGGCAACTCAGTCTGCAGAATTTGAACGGTGCATGGTCCTTCTTTTCAGGCAGATTGGTCGCTGCCTTAACAGCCCTCACTTCCAGGTTTTGTGTACATTATATATAAATTCATGGGATATTTCTTGGTACAGAATTCATGTCATACTTTGATAGCACTGATCTTACTTAGTAATTTGTATTGTGAATGCAGCTTGTCATATCCTGCAGTAATGATTGATATATATATATATATATATATATAGTTATATTTCTTCTGCATAACCACGTGCATGTGATATGAGCACACTACCATATCGGTCACTGAAAATATTATTTCCCATAATAGAATTCTTGGAAGTTTGCTGTCAACCAAGTATCTTTTAGGACCATCAAAATATTTTCGGGACCATTTTTTTCTCTTCTGAGATCACCTAGCTAGGAGTAGCTAGTAGCTAGTAGCTAGTACTCTTCCCTTATTGGATCTTGTACTTAAGTGGATTAGGTTTACTATGTACCGGCGATGATGAAATTATTGTCATTGCATGCTCTGCCTTCTTTTTCTTTGGCTGGGGAAATCATGATACTCTCTCTCACTGGTTTCCATTGAAATCTAGCAAAGGAAAAGTAAAATACAAATAAGTGCGGAAATGTTTAGAATTTATAATATAATTCGTTTGTTCAAGTTTTTTTCTTTGTTTAGTGGTGTTCATGGGCTTAAAGCTGTTGGATTTAGGTTGTGAATTCTGAAGCAGAACTCATCCTTTAATTTTACTGATTAAATTTTGTGCGTGACAATTGGAATGTTTCCAATTGGCTTCAGTTGACCACACTTGTTGCTTCAGTTTGACTGAGCTCTGAAACCTCCTCTCTAAATCTAGTACCTAGATGATGCCATCGAAGAAAGATAAATGCCATATGTGATCACCAAAGCTTAAAGAAAGAGAAAAGTAATTTACATGATTCATTCTGTAGTTGGAAATCCTTGAATTGGTTATTCCTTGTGATAATCAGTTTTGGATGGATGAATCAGGTTGCTGAAAAAACGCTGGGCCTGTGGAACAATGAGCACATAGTAAGCTTAATAGCTGAGAATAGAGATGTAATATTTCCAATAATCTTGGAGGCAGTGGAGAAGAACATGAAAGGGCATTGGAACCAAGCAGTTCTTGAGCTCACAGGCAACGTGCGTGGCATGTTACTGGAAATGGATTCTAAGCTCTATGAAGACTGCCAGAGCCTGTACTTAGAGAAGGAATCAATGGCTGCAGACTTGGAAACTCAGCGTGAGTTGACATGGAAGAAGTTGGAAGCAGTGGCTGCACAATCTGAGAGTGTGAGTGATCATATTCATATGGTTTTGGTTAATTAGGCTTGAAATTCTTTCCACCATTTGGTTGTCTTGAGCTGGAATTTCTTGTTTTCGTTTATTTTGCTTTCTTCTTTCTATCTACATAAGCAGGAAAAGAAGGAATTGAAACGAATTGTTTCTTAACCGACACTTGTAAATAGCAAAACCTGCTTTTCTCTCCTCTTGACTGTTATATTATGATGGTAGTTTGAACCCTAACACCCCACTAAAATGGGCAGAATATTTGCTTTTCATCCCAAGTTTTTGTGGTTAAACTCAACAGTTATAATAAGTTTATGGGCAAAACTTATCATTGGCAGTTAGTAATATATATAAATATGGCATTTGGCCTAAAGATGTTAAATTTATCATTAATAGTTACATAAATGTATCAAAAGTTAGTAGTCTTGTTGAAAAGTTACGCGCTTGTATGCCTTTCATTAGTTTAGATTATTTTTCTTTTTTTCAAGTCTTGCTAAATCACCAGTTTCATCCTTTATAAGTAACAAGTGAAAAAACTAAAAATTAAGTTTAAGAGAACTTATACGACCAGAGAATTATTAGTAAATAGGAAATGTTATGTAAGACTCAAACCACAATCTGTTGACTTGTCAATCTAGGGATTATAATGCAGAAGTTATGCATGATGAATTAATGGGATTAATTTAATAAGTTGAAGTAATTCAAAAGATTTTTTTTTTTGGGTGTTCAAACGGCATACATATGAAATAAAATCACAATATAGATATTATTTTGAAAAAACACTACTTTTGGTTTCTGTAATTTGCTCAAATTTTATTATAAATTTCTGTATTTTTTATATTGTAAATCCTTATATTTTTCTATATCAGCAACGTTGGTCTTTATATTCTTAGAAGGACATTAACATAACAAAACCAGTGTGAAGATTGCTAATGTGTCCACTAATATTGTTAAATTTATTTTTATTTTGCTTATTAAGAAGTTCGATTCAACACTCATTTAACACATTAGCACAAAATCAATAATATTAAGGGACATGTTAGCGATTTTAACAATGTTTATGTCATATCAACATTCTTCTAAAGCTATAGGAATCAGTATTGTTTACAGAGAAAAGTATCAAAACTTAAAATTAAAAAAATAAAAATTTATATCAAAATTCAAGCAAAAAATAAAAATTAAAAATAATATTTTTCGTATTATTTTTTATTCTAAGTCTTCAATTGGAGGGCGAGGACTGGCCATGTTGAGGCAATTAACATCATCATCATCATCATTTAGACAAAGAGAGAAAGGAGAAATTGACATGGCATCATAATTTCACTTTCTCTGCTACCCATCCATATCGTATCTTCTCCTTTCTTTATCCTTAGATTCTTCTCCTTCATTTTCAGACCTATTTTGTTAAAGTTGAAAAGCATGTCCCCATTTCTTTTGCTGACCCAAAAGCCGAACACTAACACTCGCATGTGAAATAAAGCTCCATCTCTACTGCAAGCATGTTGGAGGAAAAAAAATAAGATCTTGTATTAATTAGGGAAAAAATAATTATCAATTTTTATAATTTCATCAAATTTTACTTTTAATCCTTATAATTATTTTAATATATTTGCAATTTTTATAATTTCAATAAAATTTAATGACGTTTGTCATTTAAGTTTCTTTTCAGTGCTTTTAATCTTAATAAAATCCAAACACGGAAAAAATCACAAAGATTAAAAATAAAATTTGATAAAATTTTAATGATCAATGATTATATTTTCCCTGTTAATTATCTCATTCTCCTCTGGTTCAGAATATTGGTCACAGTCTAGAAGCTAAATTTGATCCCAATATCAGTCACTCACATATGTATAATTTTTATTTCAAACTAAAATTATCAAAATACCTTTTTTTTTACTTTACCTTTTTGACACATTCTCCCTTTTTACTGTTTGTAAAGAAAAACACAAAAAATAATATTATATTAATTGATAGCACTTTTTGTTTGTAAAGATTAATTTTAAAATTTCATTTACAATTATTTTGTATATTAATATTGATGAAGTCAATATAAATTACTTATAAATAGAATCGACAAGCATACTTTCTAAATCTAATCACAAACCCATGCCCCAACCAACCATTTGATGCCTTTTAAAGGCTTAATATAATTATACAAGTCTTTTGGAATTACTTCACTTAATTTTTTTTGGAAAAAAGGAATAAGTTCTTTTCAAAAGTTAAGTGAAGTGAAGTTTATAGGGAAAATGACAATCAAAATTTCAAAATAAAAAATTAATAATAATTAATTGTTCAATAATTTTTTTGAAAAAAATTAATTACAAATATCAATTTACATAATTATAAATTCAAAAATTTCAATTATAAATAAAACATTTAAAAGCTCAGTTTGTATGTGAAATTCGTATTAACAAAACAATATTTACAATTTATTTTTCAAAAAATTGTCAACTATCATGAATTCGCTATTTTTCAAAAGACATGATTGGTTGATTAAATCTAAGAGTGACTACCACAAAGAAATTTGTGCAAGTTTTGATTTATGAATTTTCTTTATGCCTAAAATTGTATGATGAATCATATCATAGTATAGATGACAATATGAGGCCATGGCTGGCGAATGTGTACAAAATGGAAATAATGAGAAGAGACAAAAAGATTGAAACAAAGGAGAGCGAGGGTGGTGCTGCTTCGCTGCTACTACCCTTGAATATCATTCCAAAGAAGTCCCCTTCGTCGCCGCCGCTGGACCCCACGCTGCCGGTGCCGGTGGCGCCGGTGACGGTCCCACCGCCGCCGAACCCGGGAAACAGATCTCCGTTATCCCTTCACAACAATAATTATACACATCCACCTCATTATTATACATCCAAATAAATGCACCCCAAAAACATCAACCTCTCGTGACCATGGCTATTAAATAAAAATCCTTCAAATCTCTCCCTTTTCCTTTCAAGGCCTCTTTTTTAGACCTGGATTCAAGGCCTCTTTCAGACTCCCTTTTCTTCCCTAAATGATGTGGTCGGGTGCATTCACGAGTTCATATATACAAATTAAAGGGAATAAAGTATAAAGACCTTAAAATAAAAGTATAGAGACTTAAAATATTAAAAAAAAGTAAAAAAATCAAAAGCAAACTATGAATGAAGTATAAAGATTAAAAGTTATTTTTATTTTAAATTAAATCATCCTTTATATGCTCTCTCTCTCTCTCTTCACTGTAAAATGTATGTATTGTGAATCATGTCATTGGATCTGAACCGGGAAGCGAAAAGACAATCAAGAAACAGTATAAAATTGAACAGTGCTGGGATCTTAAAGCATTTAAGGTGTCCGTTGTCCATCGAATGCTCAGTCTCAACTCTTCATTTCAACCACTAGTCAAAGGAATCCATCTAATTCTCTCAAATGAAGGGCTAAGATTTTAGACATTTAGACAACAACGGACGCTCCAAATCCGGTCTTCATTGGGCATGCATGAATGAAAAAGTAATAACATTAAAGAGGCAGAGTGAATGGTCCCACACGTCAAGAAAGAGAGAACTCTATAGGGCACTCCACCCCAAAACGGAACTGCAAACTCTAAAGAATGAGACAAATCATTTATCGAAAAGAACATGGCATGCCTAACATAATTGGTGTTCAAGTCCAAGGCAATATCAACATGCCAGTAAAGTAACTGTCCAAAACACGAATGAACAAAATTACTCATGCAGACCTCCATTACCCTTAAAAGTATAGCCATAAAGCAAGTTAATTTAACTCGAGTGTCCCAACGTTTTGTAAAGTGGTAGTTATTTTGGGAGTTAGATTTCCACCTCCACAAAAGAGGAGAATACATTGTAAATCTGAACTGTTAAATTATATTTCATAATTTAAATTTGATAACAACTTTAATTTAAATAATTCAGATTTACAATGAGGAAAACATGAGCCCGTTATTTTGAAGGTGAGTGTTTGGGATGAAAAGGAGTTTTGGGGAATAAAGTATAGAAAGGAAGGGTAAAAGTGGGATAAGGCAAAGGTGAAGAATGGGAGACAGCAGGCAATGCAAGTGGTAGTTGAAAGAGTGGGATTTCCAATGCTGACACAGAAAGTAGCTTAGCTGTTTGTGAATTGGGGTGAGGGTCTAGCATGTGTCAAATCAGATATTGCCCCACAAAGAGCCTTGTAATTTTAAGTAAAAGGTTTGGATAAGTTAGATTCCCCTCTTTGTAAATATTATTCCATTTTGATTCCATCTCTTTGAATTCTGAGTAATAATTTCAGTTTTTTTATATTTTGTAGTTATTAAAACAAAAAACATGAAATTAAATCTGAAGTATCTAAATTAATGAAATACGGCACTTTATGAATAAGGTAAAATAACCAACTCTTTCACTTAAATAAATGTAAGCAACTTGAAGATCTCATTTATAATTAAAATATTTAAAATGGTAATTTATTTTTCAAAAAAAATTATCGAGAGCTTATTTTTTTTTTTTTGAGACTTTTTCCATCATCCTCCCTGAAATAAAAGTAAGGGTTCACGGTAGGCATCTTCTCTTGTCATTCCTATTCTCCCATGTGCTCCCATTTTCTTCCAAGACATTTTCATTATGTAAAATGTATTTATTCTATAAATATACATGTAAGAGATGATATCAAATGCTAAATGTGTATACAGGGATATGTAAAATGTTTGGTGAGGATGGAAAAAGTGAGTGGGCTAAAAGATTCGTGACTAACATCTGTCTGTGATCACAGACAAATTCACATGTACAGTACGATAATACTAATTATTTGTGTTGGATTTGATGAATATGTTGAAAGAAAATAAGGAATTGGTCGGAGAGAGAAGCAAAAAGTGCTTGTATCTCTGCAAAAAGAGAGGCTTTGGGGGATAACAAGACAGCTCAAGTGAGTGTGAGTGTGGAATGAGGCTTTTTCTTTTTGGCTGTTGGTCCACACCCCTTTTCCCAATAATCTGTCCCCTCCTCTACTTTCATGTTTATTTTTTTTTACAAAAAAAAAAAGCACTTAACATTAAAAATTTGGAAAAATTATTGATAAAGATATGGAGAAAATAATATTTATTAGAAATGGTTTTAAAAAATAATAATTACTAAGAAGGATCAACTACCAAAATATATATTTTAAAATATAAAATTGCCCTATATCAAATCTCCTATATTTTTCTTTAACCACATCCCAAATTGAATATGATAGTTAAGTTGCTAACAGTGATAAATAAACAAATAATACCAGGAATTAAGGCAAGGAAAAAAAAAAATTGTATCTTGAAGATTCACAAGTTTGAATATAAAAGGAGTTTCAATTCAAGTTTAAATATACAAGTTCTGCAACTTTCGATGCATCAGCTCCAATTTGTAGGTTGGTTTGTTATATATGATGAACAATGAATTAGACAATGATTGTAATAATTTTTTATTAATTTAATTTTATAAAAGTAATGATTTTAAAATTATATTCGATTATTTATTTAAAAGTAATTTATTTTTTTAAAATATATTGATTTAATTAAATTTAAGACTATAATTTTGTTTTTATTTGTGTGATTGAATTCCGCACAACTTTATTTTTAAAAAAATTTTGTTTTTATAACTTCTATAGTGTGTTAATTTTAAGATATTATTAAAAGGTTTTATATTAAGGTTATGATGGTCTATTACAAGTCGCTTAGTCCACCACTCTAATTTTAATTGTTATGGTCATTTATAATAAATATTACTTATCTGATTTTATTTATAAAGTACTTTTAATATGTTTTATCAGAATTAAAAAATATTTAAAAATCATTAATTATATTTAAAAATTTAATAATTACTCTACTTTATCCTTATTATATATATATATTAATAATATATTTTTTTAATATTTAATGGATAGATCAAAGAAAAAAATTTGTTACAAAAATTTATTGAGGTAACTTAGAAATAAGGCCAAAAAAAAAAGAAATCCTCTTTCTATCATGTAAAGATGACTAGAAAGAACATTTTCTTCATATTCTTAGCAATAATTTTTCCTAAAAATTTTAACAAAAGTTCAGTTTTCCTATTTCTTTCTTGTGCCCCCAATTTTAGGCTACGAGTTATGCGTACCTTGGGAAGTGAGTCTTAGCATAATCCTAGGTCTGGGAAAGATAAAGTGAACGGTGGTGAGACTTATATTAAAAATATATAAATTTTGTTAACTGATTTATGCCCAATTTTCACTTCGTAACGCTATTAAAATGTGGTGCTAGTGTTTTCACGAGAAAACGGAAAAGGAACAGAGTGACGGCCATGCTGGACAAAGCAGGGCCCGATTAAATTTCCAGAAAGACGAGAATGACCTTGGGGAGGGGCAGTACCTGGGATCGCCGAACACGCCGGCGTTGAGGGTGAGCTGGTCGATATGGACGGCCGACTTGGGGTCGACGCTGGTGGCTTTCGCGTACTGAGGGCTGAGTTCGCCGCCCGACGGCACGAAGAAGGCGCCGTTCACCATAATGTCGCCCTCCGTCCGCCAGTTCCAATCCGCCCACTCCCCATCCGGCGTGTCCACGCGCTTTGTCACCTGCCCCACCACAATTACATCATCAAAACTATACCATAATGTCACTTTTAACCTACAAATTTCTCTTCTTTCTCATTCAGTCCTTTAATTATACTAAGTCAAAAAAAAAATTATAATTACAAAGTTATTTAGGAGCTGGTTTAAATGTTAGGGACTAAAACAAATAATTAAAAAGCCTCAAGGAATTACGAAAATTGACCTCTTTAGCATCAGGACTGGGCGGCGCAGTATAACGATTACCCTGGCTGTTGATGGTGGGGTTAGCACTGCCGCCGATAGCATACATCTCCCACTGCGTGAAATCGTTGTTCACCACATGGATATATCCCAATCTACATCTCGGCATCCTCTGAACCAATCCTTCTCCGAAATGGTTGAACGCTATAGTCACCTGCATCCCCGTGTCCGGCAAGTACTTGTCGTTGTGACCCAGCAGCATCACCTCGTCGTGGTGCGCGAAATGGCTGTTCGATATCGTTATTCCCGTCGACCCCATTATCGCGTCCACCAGACCGTCCGTGCAGTACGACAGCGAGCAGTGGTCGATCCAGATCTTCCGGGAGGAGAATATTGAGATTCCGTCGCCGTCCGATATCCCTCTGTGCCCGACGTGGGTTGGGCTTGAGCGTATGTTGGTGTTGCCTGAGGGTTTGCAGTGGTGGATGTGGACGTTGTGGATGATGATGTTGGACACGTACTGGAGCGTCAGGCAGCCGTGGCCGGTTATGTGGACGTTGGCGCCGCGGCCGTCCACCGTCTTGAAGCTGTTGAAGATCAGCTCGTGCTTTAGAGTGATGGTCATGCTGCCGGAGAAGATTATCCAGAGCGGCTCGTCTTGGATCACTCCGAAACGGAGAGTCCCTGGAGTTGGGTTCGCCGGGTCGGAGTCGGAAGAGTCAGTGACGACATAGAACCGGCCTCCTTTCCCGCCCATGGCGTCACGGCCGAACCCAATGCCACAGTCCGCGAGCTTCTGCCGGTTTGCCGCCCAGTTAGGGTCGCATCGCCAGCAGTCGTCCACTGGATTGCCCGTGAGACAGCTACTACTGAGGTCCTTACCGGGGCTGGCGAGTAGTTGTTGCCGGGAAAGAGATACATTGACTCTCCTGCAAGTGAAAAGGTTAAAAAAAAAAAAGGTTAAGAAATTTTGGGTGGGGATAAGAAAAGCTTCGTTTATTTCAGTTTGGATGCCGAGAAAGGGCTTTAGTTTAGAAAGATCAAATTTTACAAAGATTCCCAGAAAATGACGATGAATACCCAGATGGGATTTTTCCGTTTAAGAGGAAAATGCCAACGAATACAAGACAAGGACGAAGCAAGGTTCAGATTGCAGGTCGGAAAAAACAGAGATGCTCTGTTTCTGACTTCCTGTTTCGAAGCGGACTATAAAAAGATGAGATTTTTAATATTACCCGCATCAGATCTCATTGTTTGAACAAAATGCAGAGGAATGATACAAACCCAGATGAGAATCAAAGCAATGCAAGTGATTAGAGAGAGAAAGAGAGGGATGGGTTACCTGTGAACTTCATGAACCACAGCTTCAGGGTAAGGATGCTGGTGGGGCAAGGTGAGGTTGAAGGAAGCTTTAATGGAAGAAGAGAAAGAAGTCAAGATACATAAGAAGAGAATGCAGGTAATAGGAGGAAGCATCCTTGAAGGAACAATAACAATAATGAGGAAGGAGTGTGCGGTTTAATATTGATGTCCCTTCAGTAAAATGCTTCCTTCCGTATCTTCCTATTCAATGCCGAAAAACTACTCTGACACTTAAGGAGCTGCAGGTTGATGGAGAAAGGGATGGGTTTATTTCTTTTTAATAATTCAGAGATTATTAATGAGATTAAACGACGGTCACGGAAATTACATTGGGACAAAGGAAACAAGTTACTTTATTGGTAGGGTTTTGGTTTCCGAGGGTTTTAATAATCCAGAGATTATTAATGAGGTTAATCATTCCTTGCCTTACTTGCAGGTATTGCTACCATAAAACCACTATGAAAGACAGGGAAACTATGGCCTTGTCCTAATTGTGAAGCAGTCTCGTTTTGCATTATAAAGTTTTTTGCCCTTTATTTTCTGAATCAAAATGAAGATTCCTCGCCGGAACAGGGTAAGTAGGTAGAGACATTCGTAAATGAACGAGTGTCCAAGAAGGCGTTATGAGTGAGTAAATTAACTTTTTGTGAAGATTGAGGATAGATACTGGTGAAAAGTTTGCATCTTTCAGGTAATTTTTCTTGCTTGAGGGATCAGAAATGGAGGCGCAGTTCGTCGGAGAAAAAGGCTTTTTGGAAATGTACCCTCCTAGTCCTTCGTAGGAAGAACTTCAGTTAAAAATTAAAAATTTAATTTAATTATTGAGGAGTCTCCAAAAATTTTAAAATTTTAATTCAATTTAAAAAAAAATTAAAATAATTTTAATAATAAAAAAATTAAAATATCTTCACTTATTATATAAAATCACTAATTATTAATTTTTTTATTTTATTTATTAATTTACTAATATCATTTGAAAATTTTATTAGTTTGTTAGACAATTAGTAGCATTAGTCGTTAAGTTATTAATTTTACTTGTTAATTTACTAACATTAATTGTAAATAATATATCAATAATTTACAACTGATATTAGTAAATTAATAAATAAAGTTACTAATTTAGTAATTGATATTATTACTTATGATTGAATAATTGATATCAAGTCTTATATAAATATTGATATACCTACTCATATAATTTACAATTCATATTAGTAAATTAATAAATGAAGTAAGCAAATTAACGAATAATTTTATATAACAAGTTAAAGGTATTTTGTTAGTTTCATCATTAAAATTATTTTAACTTTTCTTCTCTAGATTGAAGTAAAGCTTCAAAAGTTTTTAAGACCCACCAATAATTAAGTCACTCTTTTGACCAAGGAATTGTAACCTTAAGGAGGTCTCTGGTTGATAGGGAGGGGAGGAATTTTGCTCTCTCCCCTTATTTGGCTTAAAAAATTTTCCTTTCCCTCCACTCTAAATTTGAAGGATTGAGAGGAAGAAGATAAAATTTGTTACATCCTAACTATATGTAATAAGTTTAGAAAGTATAGATATATTTTTTAAGTATTTCAATATTAATAAAATGAGCGTAAAATTATTTATATATAATTTTTTTTTTCCTCCCTTTCATTAAAACCCATCCCTTCACACTTGAACATTGGAGTTTTAACTATGGGTGGTTGTCCTGGTAGAAGAGAAGTGGCTATAGGTGTAAAGGGAAAATAATTTTAAAGGAATTATATCTCTAGAACTGATAATATATAAATAAAATTTAATTAAATGATTATATGAAAAATAATAAAATTTTTAAATTACTATGTGCAAGTGTGTTTTTTATTGCAATTTCTAAAATTTCAATAATATTTCTTAAGATTATTATCCTGAAATTTCATAATATTGTTTAAAAAATAATTATAATTTTATGATTATTTAGTTAATTTTTGAATTTTAAATATTTTTAAAAAATAATTTACAAAAAGGCTATCTTTGTTTTTTTAAAAAAATAAAACAAAACAAAACAAAGGCAGAAAATAAAAGAAAATTTGGCAAAGTTTAAAAAGGCGGAAATAAAGGGAAAAAGTGAGGGCGAATGGGATTATCTGACATGAATCAGATTCATCCTCGTGAATTTTGTACGGGAAGACTCTTCAGAACATGGTCACCAGCTAATCAGCATGCAAAATTTTCCGGCTTTGGCCTGAAAACTTTTCCCATTGGATCGTTTGATCTACCATAAATGAATAATTATTTTATGTTTGAAAGTTAAATGAAAAATATATATTTTATTAGAAGAATCACATTTAGTCTCACACAAAAAAATTAATTAATAATTAAATTAGGGTCATTAATAATAAATTTTATAATAATTAATTTTTTTATACATAATTTTAATGTAATTCTTTCTATTTTATTCTATATATTATAATTTGATTGTAAAATAAATAGTATATATATAAAAAAAAAGAACAGCCGTTTCTTAAAAAGGAGCATTATATTAAAGTCTCAAGTAAGTGAATTTATAACAATTAAGTTCTCTATAAAAAAATTTAAAAAATAAATTATAAATATTGATTTACATAATTATAATTTGATGAATTTTAATTGTAAATAAGACATTGAAATTTTAAATATAATGCTTAGTTTATATAATTTAAATATTTATTTATAATTATTTAAATTAATATTTATAATTTATTTTTTAAAAGAATTTGTTAGAGCTTAACTGTTGTAAATTTTAAATTTTGAAACTTTATTATTATTCTCTCTTTTTAAAACGAATGGAATGAGAGATGTCGCCGTCAATGTTGAAAGGTAAAAATATTGAGTAGCATTTATTTTTCAGGTCCTTTAATTTTAATTTTTTAATATTTTTAATTTTTATAAGAATGAAAAATATTTAAAAAAACTATAAGAATTAAAAGTAAAATTTGATGAATCCATGATTTCAAAATCGGTCCGATCCAGTTGATTAGACTGTCGGCTAGTCCTTTTTTGGCTTGATCTGAACACAAACTGTTTTAGCTTTTAAACTGAGTTGGGTTGTTTTAAACAAGTGGTTAGATTAGGAACTATCAAAAAAATTGCATATCGAAGCGGTTTTGTAAAGACTGCGTAGATCAATTTTTTTTTTACTTTGTTCCAATTTTAACCCTAAAAAAAACCTCCCTTACTTTATATTTGAGAAGGTGAAACTGAATTTGATTTATATAATTTGTTTCAATTTTAACCCCGTATCAAAATAATACGTTCATTTTCTCTTTTTTTTAATACCTTTTTGACAAATTATTTTCATTCTTTTTATATGTCTTAATCTGAATAAATATTCACGTCAAAAAAAATCTAAATCAATATAGGGATATTTATTGTGAGAGTTGATATTAAACCATTTGATGTTAAATCATTTCATGAAACTTATTAACTCATAATTAACTTGAAATATTTAACTTCATTTTTAAGTAATGTAGCAATTTTATATTTATTTCTTATATTTATATTATTATATATAATGTTTTTGAATTTAATTATTATATCATTAGTTAGATTGTGGGTCCAATCGATTGGACTATGCAAACCATGAATCATTAGCATTTTCAATTCAACATCTAATTCAACTCTAAAAACATTAAGATGAAATAATAAGGATCAACAAATGTGTTTTTGGTGTTTGAAGTAATAGGTGTAAATATAGGGTGGAGCAGACATAGACACTCCTTTATTTATACTCACTCTATTAAAAAATGTATAAGTATTTTTTAAAGGATTATATTTTTAAAAATAGAAGGTATTTTTAGTATTTTAAAGTATAATTATTGTGTTTTTTAAAAGTAATTATAATAAATAAATCACTTTATATTTATTTAAAAGTGAAACATCCTATTATATAAGAATAAATATAGAAAAATGGTATTAGTTTGAAAACAATTAACTACTTCATTGAAAGTAAAATTCAGTTAAAAAATTTTTATATTTAACACAATCAAGTAAATATATCAAAGTGTAATTTTTATTTCCATAGATCCATGTACCATTTGAGGCCAAGTTGAGCTAAAGTGTAGCCTTAGGTTCTATTGTACCGGTAAGTAAAATCATAGTTTAAGTCATGCTTGAGGATATTATTCTTAAGAGCTATTTTGTCATATTGAGTTGATTGTACAATAACTTTTCAATATTAAACAAACTCTTCCTGTAAAATGAATAGGGACATAGAACAATAAAATTTTTTAAAATAACTCAAGCAATACCAACACTAATGCACCAATAAGAGAAGAGGAGAAAAAGCCCATCTTTTTAGGCTTTTCAAAAGCATGTGGCAAGCATTACCCTTTATAGACAAATATATTAAAAATTGGGTAGTAAAAACACAATTTAAAAACATTTTCATGTAATAATATGATTTAATATATATGTTACAACATAAATTTTTTAAATAATATTTAATATTATTAATTTATAATAATTTCTTTTAAATAACTCATAAATATTTTATAATATCTAACAGGTTTGACATGTAATACAGTATTTTCCTGAAAAAAATTGTTTCTTCATAATTTTAACACATACTCCCTTTATTAAGTATTATAATTTATAAGATATTTTTAACAAAATCATACATTTCAATAAATTAGTTAATTATTTTTAAAAATTATATGCCCTTTTTATGTTTAATTTTATTTAAGGGAATATTTCAATTAGAAAAGTTTATTGATTAAAACCCTTAATAAATATATTTATTAAAAAAGTATATTAATTACATATTAAGAGATTCAAAATGTTTTACTCCCTCAATTAAAAAATGTAAAGCATTTTTTTAAAGAGTTAGATGTTCAAAAATATAAGGTATTTTTAGTCTTTTAAGGTGTAATCATTGTCTTTTTTTAAAAGTATCCCTATTGATAATAACTTTATATTTATTGTAGGATATTTAATAGGGGTAAATATAAAAAAATAAGATTAGTTTAAAAATAGATAACTATTTTATTATGCGGTAAAATTTAATTAAAAATGTCTTATATTTTTTAATAGAGAGAGTATATTTTTTAACATGGTGCTTTGAAAAAATGTCTTATAATATTAAAAAAAAGTAGCAGACATATTTATAAAATAATTTTTTCATAAAGCATTGGGACGGGATTAAAAAATGAGAAAAAACTATATATCAGATTAAATCAAAAAATATATAATATCATGAACAGGGGGGGTAGACCACCTTGCATCATTACTGAAAGCCCAACCGCAATTCATAGTGTCTTCTTGTTATTGAGTATGTCACTTAATTATATCAAGATTCTTTTTTGTGTCGTTATTGTATAGCACAATTAAT